AGAGGGGGGGAGGGTCCCGCTGCCCGGGGGGCTCAGCTGCCTCTGCCCGCGCCTCTCTCAGTTGCTCCCTCCCTCTGTTTCCCTTTTATTCCACTACACTGTGCTCTCGCTGCAGTTCTCCTCTTGTTGCTGTTAGGCTCGCTGAGGGTGAGAATTTCAGTTGCAGAGTCACTCATGGATCTTTTGCGTACTTTCCTGTAGGTGTGTCAATGGGAACAAGTGTCCCAACTTTCCTCCCACCCGTGGGGCTCTGGGCAATGCACTCAGCTCATCGAGGGAATGAGTTGAATCTCCCTGTTAGGGCACCTGGCTGTTTTGTTGATGCTTCCTTCCAAGCTGTGAGCTGCCCTCCAGGAGCGGAAGGAAGGTCTCCTGGAAAATGAAAGAAGTGTCTCTGTGAGAGGGGTAGAGTCTGTGGAAAATGGTTTTGATTTTTCTCAGAGAAGTCTCTGTTAACTTGTCAATGTCTTTTTCTCCAAAGGAAGTGCCCCATGGCCAGAGAGAGCAAATGTCCAACAGCAGCTCCATCAGCCAGTTCCTCCTCCTGCCATTCGCAGACACGTGGCCGCCGCAGCCCTTTCAAAAACGGGCTCCCCTCCTGGGCACCAGCCTCATCATCACCACCATCACCTGGGACCACCCCCTCCACACCCCCATGTACTTCTTGCTCCTCAACCTCTCTGTTCTGGACCTGGGCTCCATCTCCACCACTGTCCCCAAAGCCATGGCCAATTCCCTCTGGGACAAGAGGAGAATCTCCTACCTAGGATGTGCTACTCAGCTCTTTTTCTTTGTCTTCTTCATTGGAGCAGAGTATTGTCTCCTCACCGTCATGGCCTATGACCGCTACGTGGCCATCTGCCAACCCCTGCACTACGGGACCCTCATGGGCACCAGAGCTTGTGCCCACATGGAAGCAGCTGCCTGGGCCAGTGGGTTTCTCAATGCTCTCCTGCACACGGCCAATACATTTTCAGTGCCCCTGTGCCAGGGCAATGCTGTGGGACAGTTCTTCTGTGAAATCCCACACATCCTCAAGCTCTCCTGCTCACACTCAGACTACCTCAGGGAAGTTAGGCTGATTGTGGTTATTTGTTGTTTAGGCTTTGGGTGTTTTGTTTTCATGGTGGTGTCTTATGTTGGGATCTTCAGGGTCGTGCTGAGGATCCCCTCAGTGCAGCGACGGCACAAAGTCTTCTCTACGTGCCTCCCTCATCTGGCCGTGGTCTCCTTGCTTGTGACCACTGGCATCTTTGCCAACCTGAAGCCCCCCTCCATGTCCTCCCCATCCCTGGACCTGTTGGTGTCAGTTTTATACTCGGTGGTGCCTCCAGCAGTGAACCCCCTCATCTACAGCCTAAGGAACCAGGAGCTCAAGGATGCTCTCAGAAAATTTTTGGCTTTTTCTGATTGTGAAGCATAAAAATGCCTGTTCTCCTCTGCACATAATTTATAGTGTAACTCAATGCATACCCATCCTGTCTATTGTTACTTTTGTTGTTGTTGATGTTTTCTTGCATTTAATAAACTTTTCATGCCCTTTCTAATTCAATGTCTGCTTCTCTTCTCTGACTGATCCTTTTTGCTGAAGGGAAGGGGAAGAGAATCCCAGCACAGCAGCCTGGCCAGGGAGCACCTGTGCTTTGTGTCTCCAGAGCTGCTCTCTCCACTCCCGCCCTCTCCTCCTGATCCCCTGTGCTTGGGTAAGGCCTGAGGGCTCTGGCACCTTGGTCCCCATCCTGTGGTGTGGCTGTGGTGTTACCATAGACAGGGACAGCCCATGGGCACCCCTGGCACAGAGCTGGCATCTCTTACAGCATTTCCATCAGGAAAGGCAATCTTCTCAGTGTAGTGCATGAAGATGTAGGCACCTGGGAGCGGCTGGACCCGAGCAATTGTCAGTGAACAGCTCTCCTGGATGGAGTTGAACAGAACCAGTGTCCAGTGGCGTTTCCTTTCCAGCTCAGTCTTTCCTAAGAGGAGGGAACAGTGTGTCTGTGCAGACGGTGCCTGCTGCTAGAGGAAGGAACACTGGTGTGTGCAGTCAGTGCCAGGGCTGGGGATGCAGAAAGGCTCTGACTGGTTCTTGCTCCAGGAGGGACCAAGGCCACTGCTGGATCTTGTGTGCCATGTGGGGTGTGCCAAAAAGGAAAAGAGTCACAAAGAAGTGAAAGTTGGCACCTCCGGCGAGGAACAGACAGAACAGATGACCAGCAAGAGTATTCCATTCCATAAACACTATGCTCAGTGTACAGCTGAGTGATCATGCAGTCTAAGTCCTCTTCTTCACTGGCCAGCATCTGAGAAGGACTCCCTCTGATCTCTTGCCTTTGATCCCAATGCCGAGTTCCCAAATCCAGCCCCTGTGCCCAGTTCCCTTTCTGCTGCTGACCCTGGGGCTGCCCCAGTGTCACCAGCTCTGCAGCACCAGTGGGGACTGATATCAAAAGGGGGGATCACGTCAATATCAGTTTTACATACAGTTATATGTATGTCATTGCTTTCATTTTCTCCTTATCAGTACTGTTACTGTTTTATTAAAGGTAGCTTAGTTTTCTTTTCCAATCCATAAGTCTCTCTGCTTTCTCCTTACTCTTCCCAGAGGGAGAGGGTTTAGAGACTGTCTGTCAGCATTTTCCTCCTCCTCTACTCTGCCCTGGTAAGGCGGCATCTGGAATATTGTGTCCAGTTTTGTGACCCTCAGCTCCAGAAGGATAAGAAACTGCTTAAAAGAAAGCACAGAGCCACAGAGGTGATTTAGAGTGTAGAACACCGACTTATGAGGAAAGGCTGAAGGAGATGAGTCTCTTTAGCTTTGAGGAGACTGAGGGGCAACCTAATGAAAGTTCATAAATATGTAAAGGGTGAGTGTCAGGAGGATGGAGACAAGGTTTTTTCAGTGATGTCCAATGACAGGACACGGAGCAATGGATACAAGGTGGAGCACAGGAGGTTCCACAAAAACATTAGAAAAAAAATTATCCCTGTAAGTGTGCCGGAGCCCTGGCACAGGATGTCCGGGGAAGTTGTGGAATGTCCTGCTCTGAAGACAGTCAAACCCCATTTGGACACATTCCTGTGTGACCTACTGTAGGTGATCCTGGTCTGGCAGGGGAGCTGGACTTAATGTTTTGAAGTTCCTTCCAACCCTGAACACTGTGATTTTGTAATTCTGTGAACCCCCAAAACCTACTCATGGACAGAGTAGTGTAAGGAGTACAAAAAGCTGGTTGCTCTCCAAGTACTCTTCTGCAAGAGCTAAAGCCTCAGTACGTTATCAACACCACTTCCAGCACAAATCCCAACCACAACCCCTTATGATCTGCCACTACATAACTTAACTCCACCACAGCCCA